TCTCTCTCTCTTTCTTTTTCTATCTCTCCTTCGCCAGATGCTTTTGTGTAATGTCGTCGTCACAATAAATTGTCGCTGACCCCGTAATTTGTGACCGTAAAAGCGTCAATCCCACTTTGTTCACTCATGGTGGGCTTAATAGTGACAATGGCGTAACTAACTACGCATGGCATCGCGCAATAAATTTTATGACGAAGGTTTCTAATATGGAAAGAAGAAATGAGGAATGTTATGAGACGAGAGAAAAGAAATAAAATATTTTGAATGCATAAAAAAATATTTTTAAACTAGTAGCATATTTAAGACAATTAATGCGTTAGTATTATGTAACATTTGATTGTTTTATTGAATACATTGTATAGAGACGATGGTAATTTCGTAATCTCATTTGTTGCATTGAATTAAGCAAAAGTAGACCGGGCATATACGATTTCCGCTGATACCAAATGAGCTACGAAAATTTATAGAAAATTTTATAAAAGGGTAAATATAAATCGAGTCAATTCATTTAAAGGATTTGTCCTTATAGTTTTACGATCGCTAGATTTAGCAAATATAATTCATTTAAGAAGAAATTAGATCTGAAGAACACTGTTCTAAATTAAGATTTAGTGAGCGAATTCTAAATTAGATTTTAATATAATATGTGAATTATTTCAAGCCAGCACATATTTATACATACACTTCATTACATAATATATTAGATATAAAGTAAGTAAGTTCGTAAATTCCCTGGTAATAATTTTTTAGAATATTTTTCAGAACTTTTAAAATAATTTTTTTTAAATTTTTATATAAATTTTAACATTTATTAGAATTTTTGTAATTCTATAACTTTTTAGAAAATTTTTCAAATTTTTTGTACAAATTTTTACACTTTAGAAGTAATGAAAAAGTCTACTTTTTTTTTCTAAAATTCTTATATAAAACAAATTCTGACATATTCTATAAGATTTTTAAGATTTTTTTTCTCTCTGAAGAAAATTAAGATATTTTTTTCGGAAATCTACCTAATTTAAAATACAAAAACGTTCTTAAAAAATTTTGTGATATTATTAGAATTTTTTTCATCAGAGTTCTATTATGGATTGTTTTTAAGAATTATTTTTAAGTGTACATACAATAAATTCATGTAAACATACATGTATTTCGTGAAATATTATGATTTTATTCCGATATTTGATTTATCAAAGCTAATATTCTGAATAAATTACTAGAAAAGATATCAAAACTTTTTACTGTAATATGCTTTCAATATATACTTGAATGTCTATCACAAACTTGAGAAGAAATAAGAGCTGTCCCAAAGTAAAAAAGATGAAATTAACGAATTGAAAAAAACATACAGGAAGTAATATATAATTTATTCCAAAGTCATTGCTGCTTGGCAACCAAGTTCCGCATTCACTTCACGTTTTCTATCGCCACGTCGTGTACGTTTGGCTCGTAGATTGGTTTTTTACTTCTTGATCTTTAATAAGTGAGGTAATTCAGTATTGATAATTTTCTTCGTCTTTCTCTTTCCACCTACAGAGTTTTTCAAAAAAAATAACAGAGGTTCTTCCTCCTAACGTTCACTCAGATGATGATCCGACGGGATCCTTCATACCCTCGAATAAACCTCGACACACCTGATAGTCTATCCGGTGGTGGGCAGACAGATATTCCGGAGCAGGTTGCAAATCCACTGTGCATTCGAACAGTCGAGCACCGGCCTCTCACCGCGCAACGTTCCGTTCTTCTCTCGAATACGTCAACGGAACGAGCTGCAGCTCGCACTTTTCCTCGCCGTTCTCTCTCCTGAACGAGGAACGAAGGCAGAGTTCCGCATTGACTGTCAGTAAAATACCATATCGAACACACTGGATCTACAAAGAGATTCGCGAGGGTGATGTGAGCTTCGAGCATTGGATTTACGAAAATCACGTGGATATACGTGACTACTATTTAAACGGCTGCATAGGAAATTTCTGCAAGATGGACCGATAAACAAGACAACGGTCGCGTGACATGAGAGAACGGCTGCGAAAATGTGAGTTGATTGCAAGGATTCGTCGTATCAACGTTGAAATTAAAATCGAATATGCGTGACAGAAGAGAAACATTGACTTGAATCATGCACTGCACTCATATGGAAAGAACGGTTTTGTGAAGCAAAAAAAATTTAGATAAAAATACAGATAGAAATAAATTTTGTTTTACTATCAAAATAATTGACACCCAAACTAATTGCTACAATGTCATTTTTTGCAGCATTACTCATCATGCTTGAGTTTCTTAATTATTTTGATAATCCGACAAAATTATTTTCAGATCCGTATCTATTTAAATTTTCAAAATTGTTTTTTCCGTGCAGAGAAATACATAGTGATAGTAATTATCTGAATTTTATATGTAGACATAATATACAAAAAAAAGATTAAATAAACTATTTTATAGCGGCAATAATTATAAAATAGTTTATTTAATTATGTATTAATTCTACATATAAAACTTGAATAGACACCTTTATATGTAACTGCTACATTTTTTTCTCTAAGTGAGAAAAAAAAGTTTAATATTTGTGATTATATGATAAAATAATGATTAGAAACTTCATTTTTATTTTTATTGCTGCTACAATGTTAATAATAATAATTATTATATTTATAGTTCTACAAAAAGAATATATAGTTAATATAAAAATGATTATAAATTATATAATTAAGTTATAGTTATTGCAATAATTTTTTCTCTTAGTGCATGACAAGTGATAAACTGTGCACAAGCTTACAATAAAAAAATATTTTTATAACTGTAAAATTCAATAAATCCAAGTCTTAATACGATTGGTAAACGACACTTACATTTATTTCTTAAAATAAATTTCACACAATTAGAAAATAAAGAAAGCTTACAAATATCTGCAAAGTTTTTTTCTTGTTTACAAAATATTTTAACGTAAAAGTAGTTACATTATTATCACGACCTTGACAAAATAATGTCAC